GCAGTCCTGAGTCCAACGGGAACGTCGTAGCTGCAAGCGCCTTCGACGTTCCCCGTGCGGAACAGCTCGGGGTCCCATACGACGAAGAAGACCGCCGCAGTTTGGTGCAAGATGCACCTGAAGACATCTTCCTTTGTTGCCACCTTCGTGATGACCACCACGTTGAACACCAAAGCGATGGTGGACGGAACCCGATTGCCGTCTGCTGTACGAAGGAATCCTTCGTTCCACTTGGGGCGTTCCCCAACGTAGTTTATCCCTGGAGGGGACCTGTCCGCTGCTTCTTCCGCGGTGCTCCCGCATCTTCCCGCAACTGCGGTTCCGACGGAGGCCCCGCGCGACCCCGCGACTGCGGTTCTGACAGCGGCGAGTCTTCCGTGGGAGGCGGCCTTTTCCTCGGCCGCGAATCGGCCGAGGCGGTTGTCTCGGCGGCTTTCTCCTGGGAGGCGGCCTCGTCTTCGTGTTGGGCGCCTCGTTTGGACTCGGCTGCGAGCAGCACGGCCGAGGGCGCGCTGCTCCCAGATGAGCCGCGCGCGGCACCTGGCTCGCCGGCCACCCCCGCAACTGCGGTCTCGGTGGCGGCTCCCGTCACTGCTGGTTGGTCCTGCTGCTTCGTCGGCGTCTGCGCCCGAGGCCCCCATTTTGCCTTGGGGGTCAAGTGCGCCCTGCGCACCTGCGCCTCTTCGCGCCTCCCACCAGCAGAGCTCCCACTCGCAGCGCTTATCGGCGGCGGCGGCCGATATTCCCGCGAGGAGCTAGACGACTGCGGGGAGGCCTCGCGCGGCGGTCGCTCGGGGCTTCCGCAACTGCGGTCCTCCGTCGGCTCCGCGACTGCGGCATCCGCGGCAGCCCCTTGCAGGCCGAACCTTTCCCGCAGTTGCTGCTTCAGCTCGGCGAAACGCTTGTCGACCTCGGCTTTGCGACCTGGGTCCATGGCGTGGCCGCGCGCGGCCCCCGTCCGACGGGGGAACTGCGGCCGGCTTGGGAGAGGAAGGACAACGAGGGAGACGGCGGGGATGAGGACGAGGAAGGCGAAGAGGAGGATGGAGAGGACGCGACGGAAGAGGATGGCGCGAAGAGCTCAAATAAAAAAAAAAAAAAATAAAAAAGGAAAAAAAAAAAAAGAAATAAAAAAAAGAAATAAAAAAAAAAAAAAAAAAAAAACAACAAAAAATAAAAAAAAAAAAAAAAAAAACAGAAGAAAAAAAAAAAGAAAGAAAAAAAAAAAAAAAAAAAAAAAACAAAAATATAAAAAAAAAAAAAAATAGAAAAAATAGAAAAAACAAAAAAAAGAAAACAAAAAAAAAAAAAAAAAGAATAACAAAAAAGAAAAAAAAAAAGAAAAAAAAAAAAAAAAAAAAAAAAAAAAAAAAAAAAAAAAAAAAAAAAACAAAAAAAAAGAAATAAAAAAAAAAAAAAAAAAAAAAAAAAAAAAAAAAAAAAAAATAGAAAAAAAAAAGAAAAAAAAAAAAAAAAAAAAAAAAAAAAAAAAAAGGCTCAGACGAGGGTGAAAGGAGCAAGGGGACTGCGACGAGGATGACGGGGCAGAAACGGAGGAGGAGGAATCAACAAAGTCCGCAACTGCGGCCCTCGGGGGGGACTGCGACGAGGACGACGGGAAATGACTCTGCCAACGGAGGCGGGCTACGGCCAACGGAAGGAACTGCGACGAGGAGGAAAGGCGGAGGGAGGAGACTGCGACGAGGACGACGGGGAAGGGGCGACGAGGACGACGAACAACTGCGGATCCATCTGTTTAAGTACCTGTCTCCGCAACTGCGGCCGCGCTAATTTACGTCACGAGTGCTTCAACGGAGGTGATGCGCGCCCGAAGCACCTAATTACAGCGGTCAGTCGTGGGAGCGCCGCAACTGCGGCCAAGCTGTATGAAGTCGCTATAAGGCAGCGCCGCAACTGCGGCCGAAAGCGCGCATAGTGAGTCAAACGAGCGCGGCGTCACGCGATCGGTCCCCGCAACTGCGGTTCCATGGCTGCGCAATCCAGCAACTGCGGTGTCAAGGCTGCGCGGACCACCGCGGTTGCAGCTGCGCCCCCTTGCTCGCGTCGAACCGCCCAGGATTCGGATGGGCGTGCAGCATCTTCCAGAACGTGAACGTTCCGTGTCCATCGCTCTTGCCGAGACCTGCCCTCGGGCCCCGCACGGGATGCGAGTGCGGCTCCACCTCATACGTGTTGAACTTCGGGCTAGACCAGGATGGGTGGACGCGAATGCCCGAGCCGTCGTCGCGGATGAGGACGAAATCCCACTGGGGCAGAGGGATTCTTTGCGCCTGTCCTCTGTCACCCCTTTCGTGTGCCTCATGTTGTCGAGACTGCTAGGGCACGGGCGGCACTCGCAGCGGACCAACCCGCGACTGCGGTCATTGTCAGGGCCGCACACGACGCGCAGCATTGTAGGTCCATCCATCTTCGCGACCATCTCCAGCCAAGACCACGGCACTTTGACAGTGTGGTCCCAGTCCCAATCCCTGTTGTCCTGCGCCTTCCCCTTTGCGCGGTACTTAAGGATCTTCGAAATTTCCTCCGAAACTGCGGTACCTCCGAAGACGGGCGTGCGGCTGCCGAAAGGGTTTTCTCGGTCTTCGTACTCGTCTCGGAACCACTTCAAGGCCGCGTTGTGCTGCTTATAATTGCCGTTCCAGTTCGCCCTGAAGTTCTCGAAGAATTCCAACTTGAAAATTGGCAGCGGCTCATTGCGCACAAGTTGAAACAGCGCAACTGCGCCTTGTTCTTCGCGCCCTGGGGGAAGCAGGGGACCGCCTCCTTTGCCCGCCGCTGTTGCGGCCGCGGGCTCCGCGGCAGGAGAACCTGCCGAGGCACTCGAGCGGCCACCTTCCCATGCATTCCACCAGCCGCCCTCGTCGTCCCACCAGCGGGCGCCCTCCATTCCCCAACCCTCGCATCCGTTGCCGCCCCATCCGCCGCCCTCCCATCCGCGACTGCGGTCACTTCCGTCGCCGCCCTCCTGCGCTTTTCCTCTCCATCCGCCAAGAGAATCTCCGCCGCCCCAGCCGCCACTGCGGTCACCTCCGCCGCCGTATCCGCCACTGCGGCCGCCCCAACCCCCACTTGTTCCCCAACCGCCGCCGCTGCTCTTTGAAGAATCCGCAACTGCGGCCCGTGTTTCCTCTTCCGCTTTGTCATCCCACCCTGCACTCATCTCTGCCCCGACTGCAGGCCGCGGAGGCGGGCGCGAGCCCGCCCAACCGCCGTGAAACCTACCGTCGGCGCGGGCTTGAGCCGAACGTGCATGGAGGAGGAGGATGAGGAGGAGGAGGGTGAATGTGAGGAGGATGATGCGTTCCTGGGAGGTGTGCCTTCGCGTGCAACACAAGAGCCCTGAGAATTCCTGAGGCCCCTCCATCAGCCAAGGACGCGGATGACAAGAAAGTCGAGAAGATTGGGAACCGATTGAGGATTAAGAGGCGTGCGACGAAAGGGATGATGATGACGAAGAGGAAGATCAGTGAAGGGGAGGAGCGGACAGGAATTATGGAGGAGTGATAGCAGAGGAGGAAGAGGGGGAAGGGGGAGGAGGAGAAGGAGGAGGAGGAGGGAGAGGAAAAGGGGGAGGAGGAGGAGGAGGAAGAAGGTGAGGAGGAGGAGGAGGAGGAGGAGGAAGAGGAGGAGGAGGAGGAGGAGGAGGAAGAGGAGGAGGACGACGACGACGAGGAGGAGGAGGAGGAGGAGAGGGAGAAGGAGAACGGGGACAGGAGGACAAGGACGGAGAAATATAACAATTGAGGGGGAGGAGGCGGAGGAGGAGGAGGACGAGGAGGAGAAGCAGGAAGAGGAGGAGGAGAGGGGGGAGGAAGAGTGCGCGTGAGACTGGGAGAACGAGGTAATTAATTAGAGAGGGAACGGGGGAGGAGGGAGGACAAGGAAGAGCATACAGCGACGTGAAGAGGAGAAGGAACAGACGAAGGCTCCTGCTGATCGCATTTCCGCATCGTTCAAAGCAGTGCCGGGGCACTGCTTTGAACGACTGGTGATGTTCAAAGCAGTTCCCCGGCACTGTGTTCCATCGTCGCCGTTATAAGGGCTATCGGATTACCACCGCGCGTAGTTCATACTCCAGCCCCGAAGGTCATGTCAGGGTTCAGCTCTGAAGCCATGACTCGGGCCGCGGGCAACCAGCCAGGGCCTAACCGATACCGTTATGGGATGTTTTTCGAACCTTCCCTGCGCCGGACGGCGAGCGAATGACAACAAATTCCCGGAACGCGAGTGTACAACGCGACGCGCGAACAACAAGACTGCCAGAAACTCGTTTTCTGCTTCTTAGCTGCCCCGACATTCGCGGCGTGGTGTGGCATCGCGTTGCCGTTGAGGCTGGCGCTGCGGGTGGCAACTACGCAGCGTATCACTGAAGATTTCCTGACTGGAAATCCAACCGTAACACTGATGGGGCTACTTACACGGTCCCGCTTCTGGTCTGTGCAGACTTGCACATGGCTTCAGCCCCCATACTCATGAGCCGTATGGCGGGAAAGGCGCGTATGAACAGGGTCACGGCGAGGACGTACATAGAAAAATAACAATGGCATAAACACAAGCTTTCGGAAGTCCGCGCAAACTTCTTGGGTCGACCCTCCTTTCTGGCGCGCGGAGTGCGCCAGGGGCGGTGCCAGAGGCGCCGCCAAGGGGCCGAACGCCGATCCAAGAATTCCGCGCGCAACTCCGACAATTTGTGGTTATGCCGTTGCCTCGTTTATGGGGGCAAGAAGGAACGGGGGAGGGTGGGGGCCAGGGCAACCTCCGCACAATCGTCTTGATCGGGGGCGTCGTACGAAAACCGTGTCCCCCGAGTGCCGCCCGCCGCCCACGTCGGGTGCAGGCCAGCCCGCGCACCTGCCCACTGGAGCAAAGCCAGAGCAGGAAGGTGCATGTGTCGGCCTCTGGCCAAGGCAGGCTGTCCAGCAGCGTCGAACCCGCCCTCCCCAAGATCCCCTTCAACGCGCGACGGCATGCCACCGGGCCTGCCATTGTCCGTGTACTGCAGGTCTACGATGAACTTCGTACCCGTCAGGCGTGCCTGGCAGCATCCGATGGCGCTCCGCCGGAACTGCATGGGGAGGCGAACGATATGGTGCAGGACGACGGCACAGGAGGGAAAAAGGTTGAAGGCCACTTGCAGTTGGACTAAGGTGGCGACCATCTTCTCCCACTCGACACCTCCAACGTCCTCATGTTACCATACGTTGGATTTCGATGCTACCGATCCCCTGATTCGAATTGTTTTCCCGTTGGAAATCGAATGTGTAGCTCATCCTCCTCTTCCTCCTCCTCCTCCTCCTTTTTTCCTCCTCCTCCTCCTCCTCCTCCTCCTCTTCCTTCTCCTCCCCTTCCTCCTCCTCCTCACCCTCCTCCCAAAAGTAGCCGGCTGGACACAAGAGGACGATGTCGATGAGCGAAGGATAAGGAAAGAGACAGTTTTCCTGTGCCCCGTTCCCCCCGTATCCTGGGTTATTCTTCCTCATCGCCCCCCGATTAAATCGCACGAGCTCCACGAATCTGAAAGAACTGCCACACGATTCATGGATCCCCCCATCCACCTCCAACCTCACTTTTCCACCCCATTTAGTTATTTTGCGTGCTCCTGGTCCTCCTCATCTTCCTTTTTCCGATGCACGCTATGATGCTGATCAGCGAACAAGAATTTGGAACGTCGGCGTAGTTGGCCCTCCACTTCGTCCTCCTCGGTCCTCCTCATCCTCCATCCCTCATCCTCCTCAGTACCATCATCTTCAGCCGTCCTCATCGCCCCCCACCCCCCTCAATCCATGCATCCCTTACACCCCTATCCCTTCCTCATCCTTCTCGACCCGCATCATCACCAACATCATCACCACCATCAACATCATCACCACCAGTAACATCATTACCATCACTACCACCAGCACCGTCTCCGTCTCTGTCTTCGCCCCCCTCAAAGCGGCCACCACGACGTGACCGAGGGACTGCTCGCGGCGGACCTGGAAAAATCCCGAACGGAGGAGACGGGCGACGGCCGAGGGCGAAGGATCATATAACAAAAAGACTGCGGCAGCACACCAGAGGCCCACAGGAAAAGGGAAGGAGGAACTTGGAGAGGACCAGCCGGCCCGGGGGGGGGGAAACGGGGGGCGGGGAGGGCGGGAAAGATGAGACAGCGGGGCGGTCAAAAAATGCCTGGGCGCGAAACGGGCGCGCCAATCCTCAGCCCCCTCCCCTGTCTTCCTCACGCGCCAACAGACCATCCATCCCAGACACGCAGCGCGATGGGGATCGCCCCTCCCGGCACTTCCCCCTTCCCCTCCCCCCTGGGCGCCAGACATCGTGCGCGATGGAAACAGCGTGGCGGCACCAAGGCGAGAGAACGCGCTGGCCCTGATGAGTTCCAGCTCCACGCGCGGCCCACTGCCCCGCCCGCCCCCGACGGGCCCCAGCGCCCGGAAACGGGCGGCCCCGCTCACCCCTCGCGCGCCGCCGCCGGGGGCCGGCGCCCCGGCGGCCGCTGCGCCCCCGCCGCCCCCGGGCGCGATTGGGGCGGCCGCCGCAGGCGGCGCGCCGCCGGCGCCCCCGGGCGCAGCCTGCGGCTGCGGACGCCGCCGCTGCCTTAGACGCCCTTGCCGCCCATGCCAACCTTGCTCGCCCTTCCCGCGGCCCTTGCGCCGGATTGAAAGGCGCATCGAACGACGCGCCGGGGGGGCGGCCCCTGCTTGCGCCGCCGCGGGGGGCGCCCCCAGGGCGGCCAGCCTCGACGCCCAGCGAAGCGGTTGACAACGCGCCTGGATCGCGCGCTGCGCGCCCTCAACGACGCCGCGCCACAATGCAACTTGACCTGGGACGCCCCGGGAGCGCGCGCGCGCGCTCCAGCCGCGGCGCCCCGCCGGCGCTGCCAGAACACTGCGCGCGTCGCGTTCTCGCGGCCGATCTCCTCCAGGAAGAGGCAGATCCAGGCCTGCGGCTGAAGGTCGCGCCGCGCCGCCACGGGCGCGCGCCGGCGCAGCCCCCTGCGCCGCGCAGCCCCCCGCTGCGCGTTGCCCGCGCCTGTTCCACGCCGGGGGCCCCTCGAGCGCCGGGCCCGCGCTCATGTGGGCCGGGCTGACCTGCTGACCCGGCTCGTCAACCGATCCAAGCGCCACTCCTGGTTCGTCTGGCGCTCCTCGGGGGCCGCCAGGCGGCGGTTGGTCTTCGGGCGGCGTTCGGCGGCGCCGCCCATGATACCCGCGATCGCCAGCACCTCTGGCCGCGCCCGCGGCGCAGGAGCAACTGCCGCTCGGGGGCCCCCTGCGCCCCACCGCCCACCAACGCCGCCGGCCATCCGCCCGCCGCCCCGCCCCTGCCATCCACCCCGCCCCAGGGGCGCAGCACGCCGATGGCGTCTGCAAGCCTTCGCGCGAGAGCCGCGTCGAGCGCCGGGCGGGGGGCAGCCGCGAGCAGCTGCTGGGAGCGGCAGGCGCCACCCACGCGCGCACGCGCAGGAAGGAAGGGGGGATGGGGGCGCGAGAGGGGGGGGGGGGGCGGGGAAGGGAGGGCCGATAAAAGCAGCGCCATGGGGGGAGGGGGGCGCGCGGGGGGCAAGGGGGGAAGGGGGCGCCCGCCCCCCTTTCTTGTTCCGATTCCCGACGGCGCGAGTCCTAGAGCCCGCTGGCCTAGGAAATGGGGACTGCGCCGCAAGCGCGCAACGCCACCGCCAGCAATCAGAAAAGCAAATGGGCACAGGGAGAAGGGGGCGCGCCCAAAACAAACAAGGGGGGCTAGCAAAACAAGCGGCAGGCGGGGCACCGGGCTCGAAACGCCCCCCCTGCAGCGGGGCTGGGGCGGCCAGCGACGAGCTCGGGGCTCGCGTCGGCGCGGCTGTGGGCAGGGCGCGCCGCGCCCAGGCCGCCCCCGACGCGTGGCTCGGGGCCGGCCGGCGCCGCCGCGCGGCAATCCTCGGGGGCGCAGCCGCCAACTCCGAGGCCAAAGCACAGCGACGCCACGGCCCCAAAAACAAACCAGAGCCCGCCCGCGCCCCCCCCCTCCCGCCCACCCCCCAAAAACGCCAGGACCCACCTGCGCAATCTCTATACTAATGATCCCCCGCCGGACGCCGCTGGATGAATCCCCCCAGTCGAAGCGCTGCCTTGGCTTTGGCAGCGGCTCCCTGCGCCTTGTCCGCCGCCGCGGCAGCGCCGGCCTTGGCCGGTGGCGCAGCTTTCATTCTGCCACCCGCATGCGGTTTCGGCTTCGGCTTGGCCTTCGCTTTCGCTTTTGCTGCCCCCGGCGCGGGCGGGAGAGGCGGGGCCGGCGCCGCCGCCGCCGCGGCCGCCGCCGCCGCATTCGCCTTCGCGGCCACATCCCCACGACACCACCTCTCACGGCTGCCCAGACAACGGCAGAATTGGCCGGGGGGGCGGGGATGCCAAACCACGCTTAGTGTACGTCCGTTTGAGCATTGCGCTCCCCCTGCACTTGGCTTCGCGCGCGCGGCGGCATGCCCCCTCGACGCAAACGCGGCACTTTCGACACTTCGCCGCGCCCGCGGGCGCTGCGTGGCCCGCCGCAGCGCATCGCGCGATGTGGCCGCGCAAATCTTCGCCGAGCACCTCCAGATAACACTTCTTGCAATGGACCGATCTCCCAGTTCAACTCCGCCACCGCCGGGGGAGGCGCCATCCGCCGGGCTGACTGAATGGACGCAAACCCGCGCCCGCCTAAATCCGCCGCCGCGTCCGCCAACTCCCAAGATGCCCAAATATGACTAGAAGTAGCGGCGGCCATATGATAGGGCATCAACATATCATAACAGGCGTGCTGCGCATTCGAAAACTTGACGTAATTTTAAGACTTGGTACTTATCTCATAATGTGTGAAGTCAGTTAGGTTTAAATCAAATGTGACCGAGTGTGTAAATGCATGCATCAAAACTTGATCCACTCGAACTGGCGCGCCCATCGCGCGCGTCGCGCCTGCCCGCCAGGGAGCTCCGCGCGCGAGTGGCCAACTATATCGACGGGCTGTCGCCGTTTCCGCCCCCTGCCCGCCGCGCGCACAGGGCCGCGCGGCGCGCGGGAGGGGGGGCAGGGGCGGGGGGGAGAGCGCGGGCGATGGAGCCAGGAGGGGGGGGGGGGGGGGAGCGAGGGGGGGGGGGGGGGGGGGGGGGCGCAGGGCCGCGTGGATGCACGTTTACGTATACATGTACGCGCGCGCATGCATGCGCGCATGTACACATGCATGCGCGCGTGCATGCATAGACGCGCGCAAGTTTGCACGCGCGCACGCGCTCGCGCAGGCTCGCGCGCGCAGCTCGCCGCAACTGAAGGCAGAGGGCGACGGGGAGTGGGAAAGCACGATGACGACGACGATGGCGACGATGATTCATCGACGCCGACGAGGAGGAGAAGGAGAAGGATGGAGGGAGACACGGGGAAGGCAGAAGGGGAAAAGGAGAGAGGAGAAGGACGAAGAGGAAGATGATGGGGGGGGGGGAGCGGCGGTTGGAAGCGCCCCCCCCCCCCCCCCCCCCCCCCGCCCCCAAGTGGAGGCCGCGCTGTTCGACGTCGCGTATCTCGCCGCCGCGAGCGGCGACAGACAGCGGGAGCGCGCTCAGGGACCCGGGCCGCCCTCACATACAAGAGATCGAGGAGGGAAGACGACGACGCAGGAAACAAACGAGGACGCGATGAGGGAGCGAATGGGGCAGAGAGGGGGGCGCGGAGAAAAAGGTGGAGGGGGGGGGGGGCGCGGGGGAAGCATGGATGGACGAGGAGGAAGGCAGAGGAGAGGGGTAGGGGGGCGAGGAGGGGGGCGGGGGGGGGGCGATGGGGAGGAGAGAAGGAGGAGAGGGCGAGGACATGCGCGAGGATCGAAGAGCGCCGCGCGACGCCGCTCCCTCCTGGGAATGGGCGGGGGCGGGGTCGTCGGCGTCGTAGTCGTCGTCGTCGTCGCCGCCCTCGTCGTCGCCCTCGTCGGTCGTCAGACGGTGGTCGTCGCGGTCGCCGTTTTCGTTGGTGGTCAATCGCCCGTCGCCCGTCGCCCGACGACCGTCGTTCGTCTACAGACGTCTGT